CCCCCCCCGCCTCGACGGAGGCCCTTTCCCTGCCGGGCGAGCACCACCGCGTGGCGCTGGTCATCATCGGCGACGAGATCCTCAATGGGCAAGTCCGCGACGCGAACACCGTCTTCCTGGCGCGCATGCTCTTCGAGGTACGCCGCCAATGCGCCCTCCATGCAATGCCAAGAGCCCGTCATGCCGTCGCTCACCTGTCTTTCCACCTCCCTCCCTGGCTCCTTGCCCGGTTCTCGTAGCATGGCATCGAGCTCGGCCGTGTTGAGACCATCTCCGACGACCTGCCCGACATCGTGGCCACCCTCCGGCGCCTGTCGGCCGAGGAGATGGTTCTCCCCTCGGGTGCCCGGCTCCCCCGGTACACCTCCATTCTCACCTCCGGCGGCATCGGTTCCACTCATGACGATATCACATATGACGGCGTGGCGGCTGGTGCGCGTCCCCCTGTGGCAGCCGTCTTTTTTCTTTTCCCCCTGCTTTTCGCACCTGCCTCTGACCCGGCAAGGCCCCTGTCTGCCCCTTCCCCTTTGGTCTCCATGCGGGCGTGTGCCTCCCCCCTTCACTTGCTCGCGCTCCCTCCGTTTGTCCCTCTCGCCCTTCGTCCGCCGGTCTGCCGTTGGCTCCCCGTGCAGCCTTCAACGTGCCGCTCGAGTATCATGAGCCCACATGCCGCAAGCTCTCGGACTATTACGACATCGAGTACAACCTCTCGGATATGACCTTCCGCATGGGCCTCTTCCCCCAGGGGGTGCGTTTCGTGGCCCGATGCCCTGTGTTGACCCTCTTCCCCCCCCTCCCCTTCCCAGATGATCGCTTCCTTTCTCTGCCCTTCCCTCCCCCTCTGCTTCCCTGGCACGGTGCTCGGCCCCCTCTGCAAGGACTAACCCCATCTCGCTGCGCATATAGTCCGAGATCATCTCCATCCCCGGCCTCTGGGTGCCGGTGGTCAAGATGGGCAAGGTCCATGTGCTGCCTGGGATCCCCTTCCTCTTTGAGAAGATGGCCAGCTCGCTGGTGACCCGCGATCTGCTCGGTCCCAAGAGCGAGATTGCTCGTGTCACGCTGTATACCTATCTTCGCGAGCGTGCGTCCACCCGATCGATTTGCCCGAGCAACGCCCCCCCCCCCCCCTCCCCCTTCCGCCAGCCATTGACACTGTCCCTTCCCCTCCCCGCTTCCTTTTGTCCGGCCTTCAAAACAGTTGACCTGAGCAGCCCCCTGCTGGACGCCCAGATGAAGTTCAAGCCCTACGGCGTGAAGATCGGCTCCTACCCGTATGTGGGCCTTCCGCCACCGGCCACGCCCACCAGTCCGGCTCCCTTCCGCACGCGTGTCTCCATCGAGGGCCGCGTGCCGGCCGCCGTGGCCGAGTGCGCCGCCTACCTCGAGGGGAAGATCGAGACCTTCCGCGAGCTTTCGGCCGACAGCATTGCCCCCGAGTCGACCGAGGCCGAATGCTCCGTTCACTCGGCCACCTCCGGCCTGGCTGGGATAGTGTAGAGGCGCCCCCGGATGCGCCCCACCCAGTGCCTGTGCCGCCTCTGCGGCACTTGCTCGGCCATTCTGCCGCATTGTCCTTCTTTTTTTCCCCTTTGCCCCGTCCCTCGCCATTCCCCCCTTGGCCGGCGGCTTGCGCTGATATTGGCCAGGTCGGCCGATGATGAATACACACACATGTGCCCACTGCGCATCGGCACGCCAAGCACACCTTTCATGCCCCCTTTTTTCCTTCCCCCCTTTGTGCCTGGACAACGTCCACGTGTGTGTGTGTGTGTGTCTATTGGTGATGTGTTCAGGGGAGAAATTCGCGATTCAGCATGCGCGGCACTCGTGGGTCATGCTCGCCGACCCCGGCCCCGGCCACCGGTTCGGACACCGATTCGAAGAGACGCTGCACGGCGAGCCGGTGCTCGGGTGACCGGGCCAGCAGGCTCGGGAGTTGGCCTCCCCCCTCGATCGCGCCGCTGGCCGCAGCGGCGGCATTCAAATCTTCGAAGCTCAAGATGGGCTGCCGCCGGAAGTGATCTAGGATTTCCGGCAGAGCGCCCTCGGCCAGGGCAGGCTCGCCCGGCGAAGGGGTCGGCTGGGCAGCTGAGCGCACGCGAACCGTGCGCAGGACCGACGTGCTGGACATGGCGTCATCGCGTCGCCGGCGGAAGGCCGACAGAAGGCTCGACGAGGAGGCCCCCGGGCCCGGGGCACCCTCCTCATCCGACGCAAGCCCCTCCCCCTGGTGCGGAGGATGCCGGTATGGGTCATCATCGGGCCCGGCGCCGGATACCAGCGAGCCAACGGCCCAGCCACGGCCCCGGTCATCCTCCGAAAGACCACGACTGCCGGAGCCCGGCCGCGCCAGGTGATGCGCCTGCGGCCCGATGCCAGCCCCCGCCAGCGCCGTGCGGCCGCGAGTGCTGGATGCCAGAGCCGACCCGGCGAATGTCCCACGCGTGGCATCCGGCCGGGCAAATGTCGACGCCGTGCGGTCCACACCGGTACCGGCCCCGGTGCCGAATTCCCGCTGGAAAGCCGTTCCCGCGCCGGGGCCGGTGCTCCCAGCACGCTGCTGCTGCTGCTGCTGGCGCTGAGCATGTTGGGCCTGCCGCTCGAGGCGCAGCCGATCAAAGGCCGATTGCCGGGGCGGCTCAGCGGCCTGGGGGGGCAGGGCATTCCGGCGCCCCGGGGCGGCACTCGGCCCAGCCGACCCGCCACGCAGCCACACCACCGGCCCGGTGTCCTTCGGCTCGTCCGGCTGCCCGGCCTCACCAAAGCGCCCGGTCCATGTGGGCATGCCCACCGAACTGGGGGACTCGTCCTCGGTCTGATTGAAGGAGGTCCGGTACGCCTGGCGGATGCGCTCACCAGACTCCTGCAGAGCACGCGATGCCTGCTCGGCAATGCGTTGGGCTGGCGGGTGGTTGGGTTTTTGCGTGCGCGTGTGCGTGTGCGCGCGCGCGCGCGTGTGTGTGTGTGTGTGAGAGAGAGGGAGAGAGCCAGGACACATCAAAGGAGCACGGGTCCAAGAAATCCCGAACATTGTCGGTAGCCATGACCGTCAGGGGGGGGGGGAGGGCGAAGGCAAGGAGAAGGCTCAGCACCGACTGAGGGGGACCAGTTGCCAGTACGCACCTTCGTCTTGGTGGAAGCGAGTAAAAGAGACCGTCGTCAAATCGCCATTGGAGCCGGACGACTCGCCGATCAGATAATCGTGGGACTCCGAGGCGTGGATGTCCTTGCTGTTGAGGAGCTCTTGGGTGTGGCAAAGGGCCAGCCGGACAGTCGTGGGCATATATGGGAGGCTGTGAGCGCCAAAGAGGAGAAAGGAAAAAAGGAAGACACGATCCAAGCGACAGAGCCCCATCAGGAGCTCGCCTGCCGGCGCCGCGTCGTGCCGCGCTGCGAGCCTCCACCCAAGCCCCGGGCATTTGTGACTCGCGCACCTTGCAGGATCATGTTATCCTCACTTTGGGCAGTGGGCTGGGCTTCCTCATACTGGCGCTCATCCAGGCGCAGTACCCCGTCCACTTGGCTCTCGGTCTTGGTCGGGACATCGGACCGGGAGCCCCCGCCAGCCGGGCCCCCGGGCGGAAGGGGATCCTCCTCGAGCGTGAAGAGGTCATGCATATCGCGCGAGCCGAGCAGCATGCCGGCCATCGAGGCGGCCCGATCGTTCGTGGAGTTGGGATCCTTGAGCACGCGATTGGAAATGAGCTGCTTGAATACCTGGCGCTGGTAGATCTTCTCCTCGATGGTGCCGGCCGTCAGAAGACGGATGACCGTGACATCGCGCCGCTGCCCCAGGCGCCAAGCTCGCTCGCGCGCCTGCAAGTCCGTGGCCGGGTTCTAGCGAAAGCGGCGGGCAAGTGTGCGCCCGTGCGAGGGTGACGAGGAAAGGAAAACAAACGAACAAACAAACCAACAGAGGGAGCACCCGAGGGGGAGGGCGAGATGCCCGGAGCGAGGAGACGGGGGTCAGTGAAATGGTCCAGTCACACAGGCACCCACCCAGGGAGAGGAGCCCGACACAGGACATACCCAGTCCGGATCGTAGATGAGCACCCGGTCGGCACCGGTCAAGTTCAACCCCAGGCCACCCACATGCGTTGTGAGGAGGAAGAGGAAGGCCGGCTCCGGGGGGCCGATCATGTCGGCGCCCGGGCCAGCCGCCTCGGGCGCCTGCTCGGCCCGGGCCAGGACCGACTCGGCAAAGGGATTGACCCCGCTGTTGCTGACACTCCGTGCCAGGAGGGTCTCATTGTTGAAGGCCGTCACCAGGGCGTCGCGCTGGGCCACCGGGGTTGTGCCATCCATGCGGATGTACCGGAAGCCCCGGCGGGGGGTGTCCGGCCGCAGGCCCCCGGCAGCCACCTCGTCCGCGGAAAGTGGCTGCCCGCCAAGGGCCACGGCCGCCTCGATGATGTCCAGCATCTGACGCGTCTGCGCAAACACAAGGGCCCGGTGGAGGGTCCGCGGCGGGGCCGGGCCCGCGGCGGGGCCCGAATCCACCGCAGGGGGTGACCCCGGGGAGAGGGAGCCACGCCCGGACCACGCCTGCAGCAGGGCCATCGTCACGGCCAGCTTGCCGCTGTCCTGCGGGTCAGCTCGCCGGGGATCAAGCTGACAAGCGCGCACGCCACCGGGCGGAAGGGCAGCAAGCCACAGGGGAGGAAGTCAGCAGGCGGCCCACCAAAGTGCAATGCAACTACTACCAAGCAGGGGCGAAAGGAGGCGAGGCAAGGCAGGCAGGGAAGAGGGGCGAGCCCATTTGCCTCCCGCCGCCGGTGCCGATACACACCCGGTCCTCGGATTCGGTTTCCAGCAGAGGATGGTTGCAGATCTTGCGCAGCAGGCTGACACCGACCAGGCAATTGACCGAGCCATCGAGGATGCGCTCGAGCAGGCGCCCGCGCAAGAACCGATGGTATGCGGCCCTCTGGGCGTCGGCCAGCCGGCAGAAGAGGACCTGCTCGGTGCGCTTCGGCAGGACCAGGTCGACATCGGCCTTCAGTCGACGAAGGAGATAGGGCTTGATGATGTCCTTCAGGACAGAGGCCACGCGAATGGCTGTCCGGCGCTGAAGCAGAGTCGCTATCGAGGAGGCCGGATGATGGTCATGTCAGGCGGACGGCCAGCGGGAGGGAGGAGGGGCGGGGGCG